ATTGCTAAGCCACATATGTTCATGAAAACCGCCAAAGAAAAGGAAGTGTGGGACTCTGCTCGAACGACATATTTAGACTTGGAGAATTCTTCCCAGATCTTTGATATTAAAACACATCTGTGGCAAGCTAAACAAGATAACCGTGATGTTACCTCTTACTATAATGAGATGGTAGCATTATGGCAAGAATTGGATCAATGCCATGATGTGTGGGAGAGTTCTACAGATTGTACTCGGCAGAAGAAGAAAGAGGAGAATGACCGTGTGTTCATGTTCCTGGCTGGTGTTCACCCAAGTCTCGATGAAGTTAAAGGAAGAATTCTTGGTCGAAAGCCTCTTCCATCCATCCAAGAAGTTTTTTCAGAAGTAAGACTTGAAGAAAGCCGAAGAAAAGTAGAATAGGATCCAACCTACTTATGTCGGGGACACAACCACCTTACTTGTCCGTGGCATAGAACAAGGGGGTGATACAAAAAAGAAACCTTATTGTGACCATTGTAAGAGGTTTTGGCACACTCTGGACAAGTGTTGGAAGCTTCATGGCAAGCCTATCGGCTGGAAGAGTAAGTTTGAAAGACCCCTACAAACCACGGTTAAAACGACTCAAGACACTCAAATCCAACCAGGACAGTCTCAATTCACAAAGGATCAAATGGAGCAGCTCCTAAAATTACTTAAAACCAGACCTGTCCTCTTCTGCTGACCCATCCTGTGCCTATGTGCAATCTGGTAAAAACACCCTTTCGTCTAACTTTTCATCTTCTCATATGTGCTTACAAAATGCATCAACATGGATCATTGATTCAGGGGCATCTGATCACATGACTTCTTGTTCGAATTTCTTCAATTCTTATAGGCCTTGTGCAGGAATTAGAAAAGTGCGAATTGCTGATGACACTTTTTCTATAATAGCAGGAGTTGGTGATATAAAGATATCATCGGACTTCATTCTTTCTAATGCCCTACATGTTCCAAAACTTTTGTAATCTCATCTCTGTTCATAAACTCGCTGCTGACTTCAATTGTCGTGCTTTGTTCTTTTCTTCCATTTGCATTTTTCAGACCTGGACTCGGGGAGGATGATTGGACGTGCTGATGAATGTGGTGGACTCTACATACTAGATGAGGGAATCCACTCTAATTAGAAGACTTCTTGCTTCTTCACCGCATCTGATTTGAGTAATAATGAGATTTATTTATGGCACTTTAGGCTTGGACATCCAAGTTTCTTTTATTTAAAACATTTGTTTCCTATGTTATTTGGAAATAAAAATCCCTCATCCTTTCAATGTGAGATTTGTGCGTTGGCAAAACTACACAAAAGTACGTATCATCCACAACCATATAAACCAACTATGCCTTTTGCTTTGATACATAGTGACATATGGGGTCCTTCTAAGGTCACTACGTGTCATGGGAATAGATGGTTTATTACCTTCATAGATGATCATACAAGGGTTTTTTGGGTCAATTTGCTTAAAGAAAAATAAGAAGTTGAACATGTTTTCAAAAAATTCTATAACATGATTCTAACTCAGTTTGGTACTAAGATTCAAATTCTTAGAAGTGACAATGGTAGGGAATATTTTACTAAAACTGTAGGGAATTTTTTAGATGCTCAAGGCATAATTCAACAAAGCTCATGCGTAGATACTCCACCACAAAACGGCATAGCCGAAAGAAAAAAACAGGCATCTGCTTAAAATCACCCGGGCTTTACTATTTTCAACTGAAATACCAAAATATTTATGGGTAGATGCTCTTCTGCATGCTACATATTTAATGAACCGAATGCCGTCTAAATTTTTGAAGTTTCAAACACCCATATCTGTTTTAGAAAGTTCTTTTCCAAAGTCACGATTATTTTGTTCCATGCCTTCAAAAGTTTTTGGTTGTACTGTGTTTATTAAGAACACCAATATCAACCTTGGCAAATTAGACCACAAAGCCCTCAAATGTGTTTTTGTAGAATCGCACCACATAAAAAGGGATTTAAATGTTTTCATCCAAACACGGGAAAAATGTTTGTTTCCATGGATGTTAAGTTTTTTGAAAATATTCCTTTCTTCAAATCTCGTCTTTAGGGGGAGAATAAAAAAGAAGACTTAAATTTTTCGGATCTAGTATTTCCAACTACATTTGAGCCATCTGCATTTGACTCAAATCCCAAAGATTGTCCAATCTTTAAACACGAGGAAAATGTTGATGTTCCAATAGAATCACCACTAGATCGAGAAAGTGAACATAATATTCCTCCTGAAGAAATTGAAGTACCATTTGAACCTTAACAAGTTACTCGAGAGGATTGTAGTGAGAAAGAAAAAAAACATTTCGTAAAAGTGTATGAGCGAAGATTCCCTCCAAACAAAGAGTTCAACACAATCTCAGCTCCTGATTATGAACCGAGGAAGGAACCATCTCTTGGTAAGTCATGTGACCTGAATGTTCCAATAGCCTTGACAAAAGAAAAATGTACATGTGTTAAATATCCTATGTCCAATTACATGTCTTGCTCAAAATTCTCACCAAAATACTCTGCTTTTACTTCAAATGTGTCCAAAGTTCAAATTCCTAACACTATACAGGAAGCCCTTAAAAGTGCAGAGTGGAAAAAGGCTGTTCTAGAGGAATTGAGTGCTCTTGAGAAGAATCAGACGTGGCGTGTTGAAGATCTTCCGAAAGGTACTCCCACAGTTGGTTGTAAGTGGGTATTTACTCCAAAATTTAATGCTGATGGAGCCCTTGAAAGATATAAAGCAAGGCTAGTAGCCAAAGGTTTCACACAAACCTATGGCATTGATTATACAGAAACATTTGCTCCAGTTGCAAAGTTAAATACCATAAGGATTCTACTTTCAATAGCAACAAATCTTGATTGGCCAATTAGGCAATTTGATGTGAAAAATGCCTTCTTGAATGGCAAACTAGAAGTTTATATGTTGCCACCACCTGGGTTTGAAAGTAACTTTGGCACAAAAGTGTGCAAATTAGAGAAAGCTTCGTATGGGCTCAAGCAATCCCCAAGGGCATGGTTTGCACGTTTCACTCAAGTAGTCAAAAGTCACGGATACAAACAGGCTCAATCTGATCATACTCTATTCACTCAATTTTTCTCAAAAGGTAAAATTACAACCTTAATAGTTTATGTAGATGACATACTCGTCATAGGTAATGATCATGAGGAGAGGGAAAGAATGAAGGATCGACTTGCTAAAGAGTTTGAAGTAAAAGACCTTGGAGAAATGAAGTACTTTCTAGGTATGGAAGTTGCAAGGTCAAGTAAGGGCATTGTATTGTCACAAAGGAGATATGTTCTGGATCTTTTACAAGATACTGGAATGAGTGCGTGCCAACCGATAGATACTCCAATTAACTCCAACAAATGGTTGGATGTCATTACTAATGGGAAGCAGGTTGATATTCATCAATACCAACGGTTGGTTGGAAGGTTGATTTACTTATCACATACACGGCCTAACATTGCTTTTGCAGTTAGCACCGTGAGCCAATTTATGCATTGTCCTTATGAAGAACATGAAGAAGCTGTCCACAGAATTCTTAGATATTTAAAGAGTTGTCCAGGCAAAGGACTACTCTTTAAAAAAGGAGACAACCGAACCATTAGAGCCTTCACTGATGCAAGTTGGGCAGATCCAAACATGAGCAGAAGATATATATCGGGATATTGTACATATGTATGGGAAAATCTTGTCACGTGGTGAAGCAAGAAACAAAGTGTTGTATCCACAAGCAGTGCAGAAACTGAATTCAGATTGATGGCAGATGACATGTGAAATAATCTGGATCATAAGGGTCTTTGCTGACTTATGTTTAAAGGTTGAGCTACCCGTAGCTGTTTTGTGATAATAAAGCAGCCATTAGCATCTCACAAAATCCAGTCCAACATGACAGGACAAAACACATTGAAGTGGACCGACATTTCATAAGGGAAAAGTTGGACAATGGGACTATCTGCATTGCATTCATCCCTTCCAAAGAGCAAACAACARATATCTTAACMAAAGGACTATTTAGACRGRCATTCGATCGTCTTATAGACAAGTTGGGCATGYATGATATATATSCACCAACTTGAGGGGGAGTGTGGAATTGATACAATGAATATAATCCTTGATTTCTTGGGATTATTTTTCCTTTTGTAACAGATTTGGTAGATATTTGTATAGTTTGGTAAGTTTCCTTGTATGTTATCAAATCCCTTAAATTATGGGATTCTAGTTAGGTCTAGAAGCTGTATAAATACCCCTATTGCTTTTCAATGAGAATAAAAACATATTTTCTTTGAAATTACAGGTATATATTGTAGAAGGGGTATTTCAAAGATTATAGGGGGATAAACCTAAAGTTTGTTATTTCCGGTAATTAATAGGAAGAGGGTAGAAAGAATTGGTATGCAGAAAATTATTAAGAGGGTACATTAGGAGAGCTCTGGCCTCTCTGATAACTAGAAACCATTCCTTTTATTGTTAATCGAATCATCCAACAGTTGTTCTCATCATTTGGTTTCTATTTCATCTGTTCTGTTGATTTGGTTCAACACAAAGTGCTCTCCGAACTAAGCAAACTACGCTGATGAACTCGGAGGACAGTTGAAGCAATTATGGAGTGGATGGTGAGAATGGTCTTGCAACTCAGGTTGGAATAGTGCACATTGTGTTTGTTCAAGTATGCCATTGTTTTAGCCAATACATGGGCTCATTTACTGCTACAGTAGTACCCTGGACAGGGGCATCTGAGCTTCTTAAAGAAGGGAAAACAACCATGTCCTGCTTTTGTTTGTCTTTGTTCTTCCACTGAAAGCTGGATTGATGATATACTGTAAGGAGATTGGTTCGCAACCCCCCCCCCCAAAAAAAAAAAAATTAAATAAAAAGAAGAAACAAATTAACTACCTTTCTCTGTTTTTCATACCGTCACTTTGCCTTTACTTCTTAATTCTTGAAAATGATTCGTACTATACCTATCTCTGTTTTTCATACCGTCACTTTGCTTTTATTTCTTAATTGTTGAAAATGATTTGTACTATCACAACATGCAAACTTAATCAGAACCTACTATTTTGGTTTCTTCAGCCGAATGTTTCAAGGACCGAACTGATGTTCAGTGCTTACATCGGTGGCAGAAAGTTCTAAATCCAGATCTTGTTAAAGGCCCTTGGTCAAAAGAGGTGAGCATAATGTTTGCCGTCTCCCATGGATATGTTATTTATTGTTTTCTTAATATAATAAATCTGTTGTGTTTTTAACTATTGTCCATCCTTTGCAACTTATTGTTACCTACTCAGGAAGATGATGTTATAGTTCGATTGGTGGAGCAACATGGAGCAAAAAAATGGTCCGCCATTGCACAACATTTACCTGGACGCATTGGTAAGCAGTGTCGTGAGAGGTAAGATTTACTCCATTCTATGCTTGTGAAGTTTGATTTCAAATGTGGTTGCTCGATGAGGACAGTAATCAAAGAAAGTCAATAGGTGGTTTGGTATATGATATTGAATTGATCATTTACTATGGTTTTGTTCACCGTTGAAAACAACCATCTTTTTGTTTAGATCATTTAAATATGTTAACAGGGAGATCTTTTCACCTATTGAGTTCATTCTTTCTCCTCTTTGCAACCAATTTTCTTATTTCTAGTTCAGATTTCTCTCGTCTAGATCCCATTTAAGATCAACTAGATCAGGGCTAATCTGACACTGCTGCTCGACTAGAAGGTCAAGTGTTCAAGCCATCAAATTCCGAAAACAGCAAGGGAAATGATTTGTACAAATGTTCCATTCCCTAAGCTTGCTAAACGGAGGAGCTCTAGAGCATCGAGTGTCATTTTTGGATTTCAATTACTCATAAGAAGTGGACAACTCATTGCATTTCCTTTCTTAATATTATCACCACGGCATAAGTGTGTACTCGTAATTGATGTAGCATTGCTCTAGGGTATGCAAGGATGATTAGAAAAAGGAACTAGGGCTTTTGAGGGACCACACATTAAAGATTTGGAACTTATTGGTCGCATAAGAGAGATGTTTGGTGTCATTCAGTCCAGCATGAAGTAGATTCTCAGAGGCAAACTCTGAATTCATTCATAGATAAAATAATCTTGCTTATAAGTAGGCCAACAAACCATGATAAACACCATGTTCGCAGTACGGGACAAAATGTATGCTGAAGTTCATGGCAAACAAATTAAATACCAAATGATTGCTTATCATTAAGCCTCTCGACCACAAGCCAGGTAATTGACACCCAGGCAACAAAGGATCTTGGATTAGGGGTTCATTATTGATGATATATATATGTCGTCGAAGACAGCCAAAACAAGTTATCTTGCTGAGAAAGCATGTGAACATCAAAAGTATATTAAAGAAAAAGAAATGCGAAGCTAACGAGATTGACTACCACAAATGGCAACTAAGTTGTCAAAGCCTCAAGGTGCAAAGCGGTCTGGGCCTAGGAGCCTTGAATGCTAGGTGCATCGTGTCAAAATGAACCTTACGGCCTGACAGACGAGCATCAGCTGTTACTCAAGCGAAGAAAGGTCAAAAACACTAAGCTGATAACTGTCCTAGATGACTTCAACTTTAATTGCAGATCATTACATTGCCAGAAATTGACCATGTACACCAGACTTTTTATTGCAACAAGTGCAAAGGTTGGTGGGGCATCTCATAACCGCATCAAACGGTATGGGATGCATGAGGTGGGGGAGGGGGGTTGGAAATGGCTTGAGAGGACTTTGGTTATGAAAGTGCAAGACAGGGATAAAGCTCTATGGACCTCATACATGTAGATGCTAACCTAAGTGATAGTTCACCTGCTTTTTAATCTTATTTTATCGTATTTTTATGATTGTACTTTTCCAAGCATAGCATAAAGAGGGCCGGCACTTATGATGATGCCAACGCCTATGGCTAGTGTTTTGGAGGTGTGCTTGTTATTTTTCTGTCACTATTAAAAGCAAAAAAACAGCTTGAGAGCAGGCTTGCAGCACGTGCTATATATATTTACCTGTTAATGTAAGTAACGTGGGCATTGCCTTCATGTTGTGTTTACATCAATGCAGGTGGCATAACCATCTGAATCCTGCCATAAACAAGGAGGCTTGGACTCAGGAAGAAGAACTGATGTTGATCAAGGCCCATCAAGTTTATGGAAATAAATGGGCGGAGCTTACAAAATTCTTGCCCGGGAGGTATGCTTGCTATTTTGTTTTTTAATTCCTATGTGTCATTCAAATTCATTGCTAATTTGGCTCTCAGGACGGACAATGCTATTAAGAATCACTGGAACAGTTCAGTTAAAAAGAAATTGGACTCCTACATGGCATCAGGATTGCTTGCACAGGTCCAAGGCTTGCCTTGTGTCAACCATACGAATCAGTCGACTCCTACTACATCAAGGACACACCAATTCAGTGGAGATGATAGCATTCACAAAGATACTGCAGAAGTTGAGGAAACCTCAGAATGCAGCCAAGGTTCAACTTTTCTGAGATGTTCCCATTCTAATAATGACATAGCGAAAGATGAAAACCAATCAACTGACATGGCAAAAGCAATTGTTTTATACAATGGAGATGAAAACCATCAGGCTGACATGGGAAAAGCAGTTGTTCTGTATACTGGAGATGATACCCAACCAGCTGAAAATTTGAATCATGGGATTGATCCAAGCAGTTCTGCAAACACCAGTCTGCCTTCCGACTTGGTTGATTCTTCTAAACTAATTGAACAAAATTATTTACATGGCTGGCAAACTTCAGATAGAGGGCAGTTTTCCTCCAATGAATTGCAAAACCTGTCTTCTCTAGGTTTGACAGGGGAATCGGAATTTACGCACTGTAAAGATGTTGATCAGAAACAGGAGTCAGTAAGAAAACGGATACAAAGTTCTGCAGGTTTTAGTATTTCTACCTCAGTCGTGAATGATGTTGTTGGTTCTGATATGTTGACACAAATGTTGACATCTGAAGATGACTGTTCGAAAGTGATGCACCCACCTGATGGATCATTGGGTTCGTTAGTTTATCAACAATCCAACTGTGAGATCCCTTGTGCAGACAATTCAAATTCAAAATCATATTATTCAGAGTTTGTGGGAACTGCCTCCTATCAGTCTATATGCATGCCTTCACAACTTCCCACTTGTATCTTTGATGGTGAATCCTATCAGTATAATTGTCTATCTGTTGGAAACCAAGAATTCACTGGCCTTGCCCATGATGGACTGACTTACACCAACGATTCTAGTAATTCTCATTTCTTCACTAATCAAGATAATGCAGGGTCAAAAGATCAAATAGATCAAGCTAAGGATCCAGTGGAGCTCTTATCTTCAGATGCTATTGGTTCAGGACAACTAAATGTTACTGAAATTGATCCATCTGTTGATGAAAACCTTGTTTCACAAACCCAGCAGCAGGAGCCAGGAACTCTGTCTTATGAGCCTCCTCGTTTCCCAAGCATGGACATCCCGTTTCTCAGCTGTGATCTGATACAGTCTGGTGGTGATATGCAGCATGAATATAGTCCTCTTGGTATTCGTCAGCTGATGATGACCTCTATGAACTGCTTTAGTCCATGCAGATTATGGGATTCACCTTCACTCTATGACAGCCCAGAGGATGTGCTGAAAAGTGCTGCCAAGACTTTTACGTGCACACCATCCATATTGAAGAAGAGAAACCGTGATTTGTTGTCACCTTTATCTGAGAGAAGATTTGGAAAGAAGCTAGAACATGTCTCATTCATCAACTCGGCCAAAGATTCGTCACAGTCAGAGGTTATGTTTGATGAGAATAAGAACCAGCAGTTACCATCGTCTAGCCAAACTGCAGATTCCGGACCATTTATTGACGATAAAGAAAATTTGGACCCAACTGAAGAAATAACTCAAAAGGAGGGCGGCAAAAGCACACCAGTAAAAGTAAGTGTGAAACCGTGACTTTAGATTAGTTTGGACTACTTGATAGAACTAAACGACATACTGGGAAGTCCATATTCTTCACCCTTTTCCTTTAGATACTCTTCATAACCTTATCTGTGATACTCTTTTGAAGATTTGTTATTTGTGGTTATTCTTAATGCTTTCTACTCATTGTCCCGATCTTGTTTCTTTCTGATGTTACAGAATTGTTTTCACTTTTTGTCAGGTGCAACTGCCACCAGCCCTTATTGAACAGAATTTAGATGATGAGTCTTTTTTGCCTGATAAAGTTGCAACCATATCAGCTACACCCAAGGGCCCACACGCAACAGCTCCTGGTAAATTAAGCTCAATGATTTTGGAGACAACAGTAGATCCACTCACTCTCATTCCATCTGCATGTAAGAATCCATGTCAGTCTCTTGTCAGTCCACATACTGTTTCAGGGAAGAGAAACAAGGCTGGAAGTCGCTTTGCTGCATCCATACAAACTGAATTTATGGTTGAAAATGATGCTTTTGTTGAAAATTTGGGCATGTAAGATATTCAACGCCCTGAATTTATCTTAAATAATAAATAAAGATGTTTTAGCAGTTGGATAATGCTTTCTTTGTAGGTTTGGGGAAACTCCCTTGAAGAAAAGTTTGGAATCACCTTCTGCATGGAAGTCCCCTTGGTTCTCCTTTTTGCCTGGTCCAAGAGTTGATACAGATATAACAATTGAGGTCATAAGAAGCTCTTGTACATCTCATTCCTTTGATTTCTATATTTAAAGAAAAAAGAAAAAGAAAATAATATGTTGGGTCCTTTGTAGGATATTGGTTACTTTACAAGTCCAGGTGAAAGAAGCTATGACGCTCTTGGGCTAATGAAGCAGTTAAGTGAACATACTGCTTCAGCATATGCCAATGCTCAGGAGATTTTGGGAGATGAAACTCCAGATTCCATACTAAAAAAGAGATTTTCAGAGAAAGGGGAAAAGAGTCAAAATGTCTTGGTACGTTGCAGTTTTCACTTTAGGCAAGTATTGAAATAGCTACCTATCAGGGGCTGGTGCTTTCTTCATGAACTAAAGAACAAATTAAAACTTAAATCAAAATAGAAGCAGGAGCCTCTGAATATATATATATATACATACACACACACTGTGGAAGTTTGGATTTTTTTTTACCTTCCCAGTGTTTTGTTGTGAAAAGTTTTAAGTGTAAAAAATGGTCTCACAAGTCTCACAAAAACAACCTGGTCTCACGTGAACTCAACCTTACATATATATATATATAGTCGAAGGTTATTTTAAGAAGTGGTAAATATTTGAGAAATAAAGAACTAATCCTAGCCATTCATACGGTCAAAATCGGATTTGATTGGTCAATAATTATGGCTTTTTGACTGATCAAAAATTACGGCTATGCGAAAAATAGAGAGGGTAGTTTTGTAACTTTTACAAATAGACGGCAACACATTCATATATGAATCTATGTGATTCACATATGAACTATTTTAACTGATTCACATACGAACCCATGTGATTCACATATGAACTAATTAACTGATTCACATATGAACTAATTAACTGATTCATATATGAACCAATTAACTGATTCATATATGAACCAATAGTTTACGTGTGAACTAATAAACAGGTTAACATATGAACATATAGTTCATATGAGTATCACATGTGTTCACATATGAACCTGTTTGTCGTATATTTGTAAAAGTTACAAAACTACCCCTCTATCTTCCGCATACCCATGTGAGGAATTATCCAGTGCTTCACGGTCAAAGTTGCAAATATTGATCATATGAAGGGTTAAGATCACTTTTTTACTTCTCAAATATTTAGCAATTCTCAAATGAACCTTTTCCTATATATATATATATATATATATATACATACATACACATACTACACACATGTATATGTTTGCCAAACTAGACAAACTAGGTATAGCAGTTTTTGAACTTCGGTTCTTTTTACTCGATTGTTTCGCATGTGGTCATATTTTGGAAACGTTTACAGACTGAGAGACGGGTGTTAGACTTTAGTGAATGTGGGAGTCCTAGAAAGGGAGAGCAAGGTGGCAGCAGACATTCAAGTGGCATAAGTTTCTCAAGCCCATCTTCCTACTTGTTGAAAGGTTGCAGGTAGATTGTACAACACATATGAGCTGAGGTTATGAATTCGGATCATAATTTGTATGCTTTTTTCTCTATATTCGATTGTTGTTAACATATGCATTTGCTTTCCATGCAATCATTCATTTTCTTTGTGTTCAAATGCTACCCATTTCTTATTTTGGATAAATATCATTTTAATTAAAGTCATATGTATGCTCTCATCGATGCCTTCTTTGTAGAATTCATGATTCTTGTGTTTTTTTGTTTTGGTGCCTTTCTGTGTTTTAAGGGATTTATAGGTAATATAAACTAATTCCTTTTTCTTCCTCCAACAGACATAACATGGAAAAACATGCTTTTTTATGAGGATTTGGTAAGTTACTTGTAACTACCTTATAAACATGTTTTGCTCATGGATTAACGGGCCTCAAGTATTGTTTACCCTTGAACTATAAAAAAAACCCTAAATGACTAGTTTTTTACAACTTAAACTGAAGATTTGTTGAATGTAATATTAGGTTAGTTAAAAGAAAAAAAATGTTCAATGTTCTCTCAGTTTTTACAAAAAATGTTTGTTAGGATAATAGCGAATGTGTAACAGTTCATGTTTGAGTTAGATGTCCTTATGATAAGGAAATGTTGATGTGTGTTATTGAATAAAAGTTTAATTGATAAGTTTCAAGATTTAATGAGACTTTTCCGTAAGTAAATTCTAGAATTTTGTAAGGTTTTTGTTAAAGATCGAATTTTGGAAAGTGGTTACCTATAATGTTAATTTATAATAAACGTTACTAAGGGGCCGTTTACTTAACGCTTATCCGGTAAGTGTTTATCCGGTAATTTTCCTTACCGAATTTTCCTTACCGAATGAACAGGGCAAGGGTCAAAAATCTTACCCGGTAAGAGCAAAGATAAAGATGGAGAGTCTTACTCGGTAAGTAAGAGTGACGACTTTTACCTGGGTAAGTACTTACTTGGTAAATTGTTGCATATGATATCATTTTGATGTACTACAATCTTACCCCGTAAAATAAATTATAGTATTGGCTCCTAAGGGTAAGCACTTACCGGGTAAGCATTTAGATAAACGGCGCCTAATTGATGCAATCGATTTACTGATCGGTTAATATTAGTATACAGATGGTTAGAACAAAAGTATAATCTATTGGATAAAAATTACATTCTTATATTAATATGTAGATAAAAATGATAATACTATTGTTATAACAAAAAGTTATTATTAACAATGTATTTATTTATTTATTTTCTTATAACAAGAATTTATAATAAAGTAATGATTCATATAAGATTAAGTAGTGATAATATCTGTGTGTATGTGCATGCGTGTGCGCTTGTGTGTGTCGCTATATTGAAGATTATGTGGACAATGCAGAATTTATGTTCACTAGGAGCATGACACCTTTCCATAGTCATTAGGAGACTTGTTATTTAGTGATGTAGAGTATAAATAGGAGATTTCCTCTTATAGTTCATTTTTCGAACAAAACTTAGGAAGAATTTCTCTCTTAAAAACACATATATAAGCCGTAAAAAAGAGGAAGCAAGAGGAAAGGATGTTGAAGCAAAAGAAGTTATAAACATCAAGTTTAGCTTCTAGATAGCCATATAATCCAAGATGTTTACATGTTTTGGTTTACAAATGTGATACACAATATGCACTTAATTACAAATTATGATTATGAATCATGCTTAGGGTTTATAACATGAATCTCATATCATTACATGATTTTATGCAAGGGAACTTGTAAATCATGATTTCATTGAAAACATGTTTGCATAACCATAACATAAATTTCAATGGTTTTCCAAAACAGAAAGTTTAAGGTAAACATATCATCAATTTTAAGGATGAAAACTCATTTTTGTTGATAGAACTAGCATGCATTGAGATAGGATTTGTCCCTCATTTATGATGGGAGTGATGTCTCTGGACCCCTTGATATATATATATATATATATATACCAAGGAAATGCATGCATGCTCAGATAATTGCTATGAGATATCATGATCTGTTTTAAAAGTATATTAGGGAATCAAGAAACTAGAGATTGGACATAACGAGAATGACACATTCAATGTCTCGTGTTCAATCTGGACATCAAGGACAAAAGAATTAAATGCATAGACTAAAATTGACTACAAACCGGTAATTTGTTGTATCATAGATTCTCGTTATTTGGACAGTGATGATGTATTGCTAGATACCGCTTATTGTTTATAAATATAAATATGAGATTTATATTTATTACCAACATGTGGAGAATCCATTGGGTCAAACGGTTTGAACATATTTGAAAAAGAATTTTTAATAATTAAAATGTTTAATTATTATATCTAATTTGTATTGATTTAATATGATTAAATAAAATAAGATATTTTTTATGTTAGACATAAATTGGTTGACTAGGGATGGTATTCAAAAGAAGAGTGATGGTGTATAACCACTCTTACACTCAAGTAAGGTATAGGAAGATGATGGTGGTCTTAAGCCATACTTCCACGACCACATATACATGTATGATATTTATGCAAGGAAGTTACTCTCACAATTTTCCATGACCATATATACATGAATGAATGTCTTTTTGCTACCTTTCTTAGCAAAATAGAACCGACAATAGTTTCTAATGCCTTTGCAGATTCTGATTGGATCTTAGCCATGCAAGATGAATTGAATCAGTTCGAAAGATTAAAAGTTTGGATGTTGGTCCTCTTCTGAAGGATAAGTCTATAATCGATACAAAATGGGTTTTCAAGAACAAGATGAAGATGATGTTGTTGTTCGTAACAAAGCGAGACTGGTTGCAAAAGGTAATCGTCAACAGGAAAGAGTAGACTATGATGAGACATTTGCATCAGTTGCTCGAACTAAAGCAATCCATATCTTCTTACCTTATGCAGCTCACAAAAATTTTGAGTGTTTTAGATGGATGTGAAAACTGTTTTTCTAAATGGTATTTTAAAAGAAGAGGTGTATGTGTCTAAAACTGAAGGATTTGTCAATGCATCTAAGTCAGATCATGTTTACATTCTTGGCAAAGCCCTCTATGGTTTAAAACAAACTCCACGAGCCTAATATGATGTTTTATCTGAGTTTCTAGTCAAATCTGGTTTCACCAAAGGTAAAATCAATGCAACTCTCTTTATTAAGAAGCAAGATGAAGATATTATTCTTATTAGGATTTATGTAGATGACATTATTTTTGGATCTATGAATCCACAATATTGCAAGAACTTTTCCAATCTGACCGTGTCTCGTTTCGAAATGATCATGATGGAAGAAATGAATTTATTCTTAGGGTTACAAGTTAAACAACTGTCAAAAGGAAATTTCATAAATCAATCAAAATATATTCATATAATATTTTGAAGAAATATAAAATGGAGGACATGTGCTCCTACGAAAACTCCGATGGCACTAGGTTCTAAGCTTGACGTTGATCCTAATGGGAAAAGTTCCAATCTTAAAACTTACAGAGGGGATGATAGGTTCTTTGCTTTATCTGATGGCAAGTTGTCCAGGCATTATGTTTTCTACCTGTTTTTGTGCTCGTTATAAAGCAAATCCAAAAGAATCACATCATGTGGCCGTAAAATGTAATTTACATTATTTGAAAGGCACTGCTGATCTTGGATTATGGTATCTCAAGGATACATGTTACAAATTAACTGCTTACTCAGATGCTGATCATGCATTGTTGGTCCCGTTAGGGTATACAAGATGTGTATAACAGTTTGTAGAAGGGGGAAGGATGAATATAAACAGAGTATTTTCAAAATTAATATATATATATATATATATACATACATATATATATATATAAATATATATATATATATATACATATATTGATAAGAGAAGATAAATACAAAATTTTCAAGATTATTTACAGAAAGATAAGGTAGACAAAACCTATCTAAACAATCTAAATTTTACTCACTAAATCTTAGCAAATAAATAAAAGATTTGCTGTTAAAGAAATAGAAGAAAGTAAGTTCTATCTAGTAGAGAACTTGTTCAGAATACAATAAAAGAGATTCTAACTTGCTCTTGAAGATGAGCGTATTTGTTCTTAGATGTGTGTGTTCTTTTACTTAAGCGTAAGAAAGCTCAGAGTAAGGTTTAGAGTGTCTCTGCATGGAGATAGAACACATCTATTTATACCCGTTGCATTAAATGCACATTTAATGCAACATGGTAGGGTTAGAACGCATGTCAAGCCTTAAGGGGAAGGCTTGTCCTTTGCTACAGTGAATAGTACAAAAGTCTATTCACGAGCAGACATCCTTTCATAAAGTAGGTGGGTAATAGAGTCAACTAATCGGCTCCGTACCGTACTAACATTTAGAAAGGGTATGGGTTTGTTCTTTGTGTGTATAAGAACAAGACAACAACACTCAGCTCGACAAGCTTCTTTTGATCGCTGAAAGCTGGAATAACTTGAAGGTCTCTTCAGCATTCGCTGAAGCTTCGGAAGTCTTCACACATATGTATACAAGGTTGTAATCACTGAATACCACTTCAAATCACGTACCTGCAAGTCTCTAATCTTCAGTTTTAGTTTTCGACTTTCTCTGAAGGTTCTTTGGTTTTAGTGTTGTCTTCTTGAAATATTGCTGTTGCTGATTGGATTTACAATACAAGTTCTTTAGCGATCACTAAACAGACTTAGTGAGGATCGCTGGAATTGAAAAACATAAACATAAATACTCCACATAGGATATAAGGGATTATCATCAAACCAAATGAGAGAGAGGATCAACAGTCTCCCACTATTTGATGATAACAAGACAACATAAAGAAAGTTGTCTTATCAAATAATAGTAAGGAAAAGTAACATATAAAATACATGTCCCTTTTAACTATTTTGGGATCTTTTTCAGTGAGTCAGTCTTTTCTTGAAGAATTTTCTTAAGTTATATTTAAGAAAAGTTACAAGGATGGAAACTGAAACTGAAAGCTTATTCACTGACTTAAAGATTGTCAGCGAATTTAAAAAGTAACACTGGAACTCATAGACTTGTGTCCCTATTACTTTTTTCAGAGATCTTTTTCAGTGAAGTACAAAAACACTTTTATTATATTCAATGGAAATATTACAAGATGTTCAGTACATGTCTAAAACTTACAGACTATAAGATTAATCAATGAAAGTAGACATAGTAAGTAGATTACAAAAAAAATGTGGACAATATG